TTGTATTGGTAGTGCACGACTCTCAAAGTCGCATTCCCGTTTTTACATTGGCGCCGTTTTTCGTGATATGCGTGAGTTTGCATAAGACCAGTCTGAGTAAGGATCAAAAAATGTTATTGTATTGTGATCCCGACCAAGAGATGCATTACCTATCTTATATTTTAAATATACTAGTATGGTACATTTTTATTAAAGGACTATCATAAAGCACAGCTGACATTTTCAATAAATTGTAGGACTTTCTTATTGTCCTAAAACACAATTTACTGAGCTACAAATCCACATTGGTCTTTGAGGGCCTTTTAAACTAGATGGAATAACGTCTCAGATTATGTTGGCATCATTCATGAAACTGTCTCAAACGTTAGAAAAGAAATATAATTGCGCATATAATTATTCCATATTCTTCGGAAATTATATTACATTTTTTACAAATAACAGTTAGCAGCTATTTACGACTGTTTTTATGTGATAAAATCGTTTTTTTAACATTATTCATACACGTAGTTACGCAAACTTCATCATACGTTTCTATTTCAGGGTAGATGGACTGCATTACATTATGCTGCAAGAAGTGGATATACAAATATAGTAAAAGTGTTGATTAACGCCAATGCCTATATGAATCCTCGCAACTTTCGTGTGAGTATATTCTTAGGGGCATCTCTTATGTCACAGATGTACGGCGATTCTCAAATGTTAATGCCCTTGGTGCACATGCTACAAACCTAGTTGCAGATTAATATATTTGTTGGTTCTGAACTTTTTTTGTTTAAATACTCGTTTAGTGCAGGCGACGCTTTCCATGAACGCCTAAATAACAGTTATTCATATGCCGTTTCGTCTGAAAACATATGCATTTACCATTGTTTTTTCTGGATAGATCCCCACTGCTTCTCGTGAAGAATTAAATTGTGGATCGTTGATATTATGCACTTGACAATTTGTTCAGAATTGAATTGCGTTTTTATCTAAATAAAAATGCTAATAATTTAATAGCACATGCTCAGGATATGGTGTAGATGAACTAATATCGGGATTGGACACAGTGGCGTACAGATATAGCGTCCTTGAAATGATGTTGTTTCATTAAAGTCAGCGTTTGTTACATGCAGTCAGTGAAGAAGGGACAAAGAGTCATGTTAGGCAATTAAGCAAAAATTACCAAACATTGTATGATCACATATTGAATACCAGAATTATCGTTTAGCATGGTTAGAATGCATATTGAGTTGCAGATTGTTACAGTATCATTACTGTTAGACTTATTAGGTGTACATGTTCATGACAATGTAGCAAACAATGCCAATGGTCAAGTGTTTTAATCGAGTAAAGCGTTAAGATGCTATGCTGATTCTGATAAACGTGTTCTGGTGCCTCATTGAGACCTGCAACACGTACTAAACACATACTAAATAGTGGAATCACACTCAAGTAGATATATCAGATTTATTAACATAACTAAAAAGGTGTGTGGGAAGAAGTCAACAACCCTTGTTTGCAGTTAAAATTACTGGCAAAATTACTATGTTTATTGGTACCCAATATTCTCATTAACTATATACAATCCACAATTCTTCAATTTCAACAAAGATTCACCCGCTGATTTCACAGTGCTACCCGCTGATTACCAGGGCATATTGAAACTGACAATTATGTGAACAGAAGAAATATAAAAAAAAGAATGTGATTAAGTCATCAAAAATATAGTTTAAAATCACCTGCTGACATTATATAACTAACCATACTACTAGCACATCAAGAAAGACAACTGGGTGATTTGAGTCACCTTAATTGCAGTGGAATTCTTGGTTTACTACATCACCTACCAGAAAGTCTGTGGAAATAATAAATTTCAATTATTATTAGGCTTAATTACAGATTACAGCCCCGAACGGAAACAATTAGGGAATGTACCCGGGTCCACAACAAACACCCTAGGGTAGCATTCCCTATAGAAAAAAAGGCCTCTCCTGAGAGGTCACCCTCACGTGTGTGAGGCCTGGTCCATTCATTCTCCCTTGTTTCCACTACCAACTGGTGCAGCAATTTTTCAGCTCCACTGCTACGCACGACAGGAGAACAGGTTACAGATTTATGACTGAGATTGTGACTGTTGGTGATCAACTCCATTACGGTAAAGGCTTTCTATTAATCGGGCCCCATTTTTACCTGTTTTAGTTGAATCGCCGGCTTAGTTCATTCCAAATTCTGGCGTGGTGAATTTTCTCGTTTTTTTCATGATCTCATTTCGTAATTTTTTCCTGACTGCATAATGCCTAAGTCGTTAAAAAGGACGTCCCGACGCAACAGTCAGGACGTAGGACATGCTCATCCTGCCTTAAACAAATGCCCGTTTGGATCCCCCGCACATCTGTTGCCATTCATGTCACTGTTGTGTCAGGGACTCAGGGGTATTGCCTAGAGGGTCTCTGTGATCAATGAGACCCTAAAACGTGGTTGCGAGGCGAGGTGGAAAGCTGAAGGAAAGCGATTAAAAGCTGGTAAAAAGCTAGCGATGTAATGTCTGATTCAATGAGTGAAAAAAATTTCTTCCTCCACTCACTTCCGATCGACAACCGAGATTGTTGGAGAGTTGTCACTCTCTGACGATTGAGACAAGACCTTCAAAACATTTATCTCTGAGATGATAGACATTGGCCAATAACGTGGAAACACTGGTGGCGGATCTAAATGAAGTTAGTTTCCTCGTTTGATGTTACCACGGCGGACAAACACCGTTCAACCATTTTTGCTGGAATCGGAGTTTCCAGTTACCATGGTTACCGATGTTGGTAAACAGCGTATTCTCACTGGGGTGCTGACATCGACACAGAGTACCGAGGTGGAATTGGTACAGCCTTTAGTGACTGAACCGGTTCAATCCACCGAGACTTCATCTGTACCGACACAGCCTGAGTTGCTTGCGCAATCACAGGGACTTACCTTACCAGTATTAGTCAAGTTGACCAGCTCTCCCATGGTGAAGAGATGGCTTGGAAGGCCTGGATACATATGATGCAGGAGGGTACGATGCAGGAGGACCTAGGGTGGGGGGGCAAGTCAGGGGGCACGGGCTGAGATACTGCCTGTCCCTCTGCCACCAGGGCTAAGGTCAGGTGTGTCCCATCCCCCCAGTAATCTCTTTTAGAGGATCAGTGGGGGACAACTCACATCAGTAGGAAAGGGAGCGTCCACTTTTTTTTAAAGAAGGGGGCCCTCTCCCTGGAGCGAATCGCCTTTTGCGTTCTCTTCTGTATTCCCCACACTCCCCTCAGGCTCAGGCTGACCAGGCATCGCTTTCTGCGTCTCACCAAGCCACGCCAGTTCACACTCACATAGCAGCACAGCCTGCTTCACGGGTTCCCTGTCCTGATCCCGGTACCCATACCATTAAGGCGAGAAGCGTCAGAAAAAGACCAAGACATGTGGCTTTTGTGGTGGGCGTTCGGACACTTCTGGGGACCAGCGGGCCGCGAAGTGTCTTTGAAGGTTTCTCCGGCTGCCTAGACATGGATGGTGGTACGACTCCAGGTCTCCCTCCCCGGAGTCCTCGGGCTCAGTCTCCCATCTTCGTCCTCCCATACTGGAGGCTGAATTTCAGGAAGCACTAGCTCCGAACCTTCATCCCCTCCTTCCCGTGGGATCGCGCCTTATGCAGTACATACCAGCTTGGCGCAGGAGAATTTCCGATCCCTGGACGCTCGCAGTAGTGTCGCATGGGTATCAGATTCCTCTTTGGTCTCCTCCTCCTCCTCATCCTCTCTCTGGTCCTTTGCAGAAGGACGAGGTCAAGGTGGAGACGATCCAACAGGAAGTAGCCAGCCTTTTTTAGAAAAGGGCGATACACCTAGTGGAGAATGTTTACGAGTTTACCGCCCTCCCTTTCAGTCTGTGCATGGCACCGTACGTCTTCACCAGAGTGCTGCTACACTGGTCGTCGGTCTATCTGAACCTATTTCTCGACGACTGGTTATTACACAACCGAGACAGAAGTGTTAGTGGAGCACGTACGATTGATGCTTATGCTCCTCCAAGAGTTCAACCCAATACCGTCCCACAACCTGTTTTTTCTGGGTATGCAGTTTGACACAGAGCAAGGACTTGTTCACCCCTCTCAGGAGCAATGCGACTCCCTTGCCAGCCAACTCAGGGTTCAATTGTCGGACCAAGTGATGGCAGACACCCTTGGTGGAGGCCGCACAGAACTTGGAAACGGGAATACCCCTAGATCCGATGACTCCCTCACTGACTCTCATTACAGACGTCGCTCCAGGGATGGGGCGGTCATTTGATGGACCTTCAGATCCAAGGGATGTGTCCGTCTGCATATTCGGACAGCCACATCAATTGGTTGGAGTTGCAGACCGTCCTACTCTCATTGAAACATTTTCAGGAAGTCGGACACCACCACAGAGTCATGCTATGGACAGACAACACTTCAGTAGTGTCGCACTCCCCCACTTTGTCGAAGCTAGCGGAGAAGATTTTCCTATGGTGCCTGGGAAACCAGGTGGAGCTATTGGCTCACCACCTTCCAGGGCGGACGCCCTCTTGAGACTAATTCAGTTCCAGAATACCGAGTGGCAGATCCCCCAATGGGTGGCAGACCATCCATTTAGTCTCGGGGACGGGCCCTGGATAGATTTGATTGCCAATCACAGGAATGCCAAGCTCCCGACATACGTGTCACTCCTCCCGGAGACAAGTGATTTCACCACGGATGCTCTATTGATCTCTTGGAGTCTCATGGATGCTTAAGCTTTCCGACCCTTCCAACTGGGGTACCTATTGGCTAGTGAAGGTCTGGTTCCCAATGTTACTGGAACTTCTAGTCGAGTCACCATAGAGTTGCCAAATCAGTTGTCCCAGCCGGACAGCACTGGGGCCTCGCTCGAGCAGGTGCTCCGAGCAGGGTTCTTGAGATCTCAGAATGTCTTCATTAACTATTACTTGAGAGACCTCCAAGGGAGGGTCTCTACAGGTTGTGTTCAGTGGTGATGGTCAGACAGTGTTCGTTGATCCAGCCTGCACCATCAAGGGGCCCTATGTTCGAAAGCATTAGTGCGATAGTGTCTTCAGCCGAAACCAGCCTTCTTTGCTTGATGGTGCTGGTTTCGATCAGTGCTATCGAACCCCAGCAATACACGGTTTTTGATGCATTAGAATTGTTGGGGCCCTATTTTATTGTTCAGTCGGCTGGCTTTAGTAGCTTCCCTAAATTGTGGGGTCTACTCTCGAGGTACCCGGTCCCTGAAGAGTCGTTCGAGTGGTTGTATCCCTGGACAAGACTCCTTGTTAGTGAGTAGTTTTAGATTTCTCTTTGAGCTGGGGGTATCGTATCAAGTCGAGTCAAAATGGAACAATCGTTATACTAATTAATTAATTGATTTATTACTTAATTAAGAAGGAATATAATGATATATACATTTATTAGAACGACATTGTAACATGCAGTCGCACTCTCATTGGATTATCATTTATTTAAAGAACAAGACACCATTGCATTTAGCTGTGCTATATAATCACACATCTGTAGTGAAAGTATTATTGGAAAATGGTGCCGATTCTGAAGTTACCGATTCTGTGAGTACAGTCAATGAGTCAGTGTTTTTATTTTTCATGGTGTCGTCACGTGTTACCACTAACCTTAGTTTTAGCAGGATGGATACTTTTCATTTCTTGATTTGTACCATATAATTTGTTAAATCTGATTACTAACCGTGGTGTATGCAACAATGTTACGTTACAGCTGAGATATATTACAAAGCCACAGACGAATGCCATTCATCATTGTAACACACACAATTGCATCAAACAAGATTCCTCATATTCAAAGACAACTAGCAGATGATATTTGAGGCATGAAGCCTGTTTTGACCAACCACTATAGAATGTCCAAACCACGATGAATTCGGAAATTCTATTGAGCTCAAAGCTCAATCAATAATGAGGCACCCCCTAATCACAATACCATCCTTACCATAGCCACATTCGTGTCTAGCTTGTCGAGTCAGTTATTTTATTCCTGTTGAAGATCAGACTGTTGATGATTAACTATTTGTCAAAGCCAACAAAAACTGCCATTTGCCAGACCCTGCCTAAAGATGGTTCACGCAATTGAACTCCATGTTACCTCATTGGCATTCAAAGATGGACCCCCACCCCTGAATCGTGTCCTTTAAACATGATTTTTGCATAAATTTAAAATGAATGATGCCACATCCTAGAATATAAGTAACAGAACAGCACCTTATAAAACATGTTTACCAGTTACTGTTATTATTGAGGGTGATGCATCAGACTCGTGATCGGTAGATTCTCGCGCTATTCTCATTCTTTTAACATTTAGGGCACTAGCACGACCTCAAATGACATGCATTATCAATCATACTAATTCTGAAAACGGATCAAAACATCTTCAGAACTTTAAAAAAAATATGGAAATATAAAAAACTGGAAACACTATTTATAACTCGCCAAAACTGAAAACTGTGTAAATTCAACCAAATCTATCTTGACACATCCAGGTGATTTCCTTGGTATCCCCTTCCCAACACGAAAGTATTTGTATCATAATCTGATTGGTTTTAGTTTTAATTCATAGTCTCAATACTGAAGCAATGGCAATCATATTCTCAATCAACAAAACAGTACTGAATAATGCTAATAAACCAGGTTGGAAATTGACATAGTTAGATTAAAATTGATGAAATTCAGAGTATTTTTATTCCAAATCTATCACAGAATATATTACAATATAAATTAAGTACAGTTTTCATTTATTTCTCAGAACACTGACACTCCGTTACTTTGGGCTGCAATGAAAGGACATACACCAATGGTGGAAGTATTAATAAATAACGGTGCTGATGTGAATGCTGTAAACAAAGTGAGTATGTTGTTGGTACAGGTGTATTATATCAGTGTTTACATTACTCTTATTTAATATCTGGTGATGGAAACATATTGCCATATATCATGGGGTATGGTATGAATACGCAATAACCCCCAGCCAAAGGCGGGTATACCACGAGATATTGCACAATCCACGACATACATGTACGAGCCGCAGGCCAATGCATATATGGAGTGAACTGTGCAACATCAAGTGATATACCCAACATCGGCGGGCATTATTGCTATTATATTATACCAGTATATTGACAATTCGATAAAATTAGTAAAAAAAGAGTTTACTTTCATCTACTAAAAGATCATGATTATGGCCCTTGAACATGAATATTTATAAGAATAGTATGTAGCTGTACGCTGAATGCATACGACAAATACATACGCAACACAGTTCAAATACAAACTAATTTTTATTCCGCATGAAAACGAACAGTATCCACGGTGAATAGAGCAGCATAAACACAAAAATTAGTGTAACAAAAGATGACCTTTTACTGACTGCGTCAACGCCATTTGAAATACAGAGTCGTGTACAGTTTGGATCATTAAAACGACGGATTTTCCACGTTTTTATTCCGGTTTTTGTACAATTTGGATTGTAATTTGCCCATTGAAAGTACAGTTGTGAAATAAACCGGTTTTGTGACTCATCATACTACTTGTAACTGTGGATATTTGACGTTCAAGTAGTTGGTTCGACCGAAATTTGAGACGCGGTGTGATGTGGTGTATCATGTACGGCGACCTTAGTCCCAACATCTGACCTGGATACATATAGTTTTGTGACAGTATGACTGAAAAGTTTTGTTATTGTTGTGGTGTAAGTTTGTTGATGTAAGATCGGATTCTCACATCGTTTTTGTGACACGTACATGATATGCCTTGTCTCAACTTCGGCCGAAATAAAGACTTTGCATGCCGTCGCTCTAATGCAGTGGTTGGTGTACACTCGGCACAAATCTGCAGCTTTCGAAATTACTAATTTATTTACTCATAGTGGAGAATTACAATACCATATATCGTTGTCGAATTCTGCGTTGTCCTGTGTTCTTTGGAACAGATGGCAATTACCCGGGTGCACTGCAATTTTGTCAACTAGAATTCGAACGCTGCCACGGAACACCGGATGTTATTGGTGGCATACATTTTTGTCTGTGACTCGTAGTTTTTTTTGCATTTTTTGTCCTTCAATCCCTCAATCTCGTCTAGTACTTAAAGATAATGTTTTCTTTGTTGGAGGTTTGCAATCCATCTCAGTCACAACACAGAGAACATAGCGTTCTGGCGGTCATTTAGGCATGGTGTTGAGGGACGGTGGTTTAGGTTTGTGTTGCGAACGACAATCACCCAACGACCGACGCTCACAACTTGGATCCACCATTAACAAAAAGCAATATTATGGTTATATAATTTTTCAGATGTTTTTAATTCGGTATTTTTTAATAATAATACCGGTCTTATGTATTTCCGTATTCAACCTGTAGTCAATTCATGTTCCAGGACCACTAGGTTTAGCCGTGCATTATCAGCCAATATACCATTAATTGCATGTGCAAATTTTGTGTTTGGACCAATCAATATACTGGTATAATATAATATACAATACATCGCGAAACATTGAAACAAGTCATGTTTATCAACATTTGTGTTGATAAACATTGATTTTCTCACAATCCAATTCGCCATTCTAATGAAAATCACAAGTATGACTTTTGACCTGGGCGCGCCTTTAGAATAAGCTACTGTATGATGATGATAAAAGAATGTGCATCTCATTCTTAAGACTATCACATAAATATGTTCAGCATGAGATTATAATGTGAAATATAAAATTAATGCTTTCATATTCATACCAGGACCAGAATACTCCATTACACAAAGCTGCAAAAAAAGGATACGCTCCTATACTAGAGATGTTATTAAATAATGACGCAAATGTGAATGCTGTGAATAAGGTGAGTGATCATGTTGTACATGTAGCGTCGTATTAAATTCAGCTTCATGATAATCCTAAGTTCCTTGCTTACTTGAGAGGCTCATACATGCTGAAAGAAATGTACGATATTCATTGTCTGTTCGTATTGTTTGCAATAAGAATAAGAAACAAATTTATGTATATCCACATTATCCCAATGAAATTTTGTTCATATTTTTATTTTGAGTGCCACCCACTCACGTGCGAATTTAGGAGAAGACTGCAAAAAAATGACGAACCCATTCACGTCAATAGGAGCGTCAGTAATCGAGTTTTGTATTACTAATAGTTTGAAAATTGCCAAACGCAACCCCACTGCGTGCCATACTATTATTTACTAGTCAGAAATATAGATAAACTTTGCATTGCGACATTATTTTGCCTATCTTGGCATCAAAAGTGCGAAAAGAAGTCAAAACAATTACTAGCACAACCGTCAGTGCTTAATCGTAATATTAATAAAAATTATGAAAATAGTTAGGGTCGTTAGTTGGTAGGTTAAATGAATCCTGCAAGAAAGGCATACGAGATTCACCAGAGAACAAATTTTCAGTTTCTTTTGGAGGATCGTCTTGTAGAATCTGAGACAAGTTTGATACATCAGACGCAGTGGACTCCAGTTGGCGAACTGGATGTATTCGACGTTACTGCATTTTTTAAATTTATGGAGAATGGGAAAGCGTATTGTATTGGTCGACATGTAAAACTGTCTGCGTTTGGTTCTCGGTCGACATGTAAAACTGTCTGCGTTTGGTTCTCGGATGGCATAGAAAAAAAGAAGGCAGTTTTTATTGTCTCGTTGTAATTAGTAGGCTTGATTGTCGTTGTATTGGTAAACTTCATGTCGGAATCGTG